GGCGATCCTCTCGCAGGTGTCGTTCACGAATGAGTTCATGATGGGCATGGCTTTGCTGGAGGTACCAGTGTCGGGGTGGACCTGCTTGAGGACCTTGTAGATGTAGATGGGGTATGACTCCCTCCTCTTACGCTTCTTCTTCTTGTCTCCCTTGGAGATGTTCTTCTGGGCCTTCCCAGCTTTCTTGCGGCGGCCTTTCCCGGTCCGGAAGGTACGTGAGCGGTAAGTACGAGGACGCGGAGCACAGAGACTGACTTATCAAACAAACAAACACACACACAAAAAAAACAACAAAAAGCAATAATGAAAGTGAACTGAACACTGGATAAGCAAGTACGTGAATGTCGCACACTTGAAGGTGTGAGGTGTGAACTTTCCTTTGAAATTCATACAAATGTGCTTTCATGCGTGCGAATGGCGTTCACACATCTACAAGAGTGCGACTTTCAGACACTTGGGTTTCCGGTGCGTTCCGAAGCGTCTAAGTCTTGAAGTGGGTCCACGCGGAACCAGGCTTCCTCTGGGGCAGACAGTGTTCCGAAACCTTTGCACTTGCTTTGCACTCACGGTGCACTCGTTCCGCACTCGGACGCCCTCGCTCTGCACCCGATTTGCACTCGTTATGCACTCGACTGTGCACTTGTAACGCACTCGTCCTGCACTCGCAGGGCACTCGTCCTGCACTCGCAAGGCACTCGTCCTGCTCTCGCCAACGCACTCGTTCTGCACTCAACTTGCACTCGCTCTGCACTCGCTTTATTTTTAAAGGGGTACTCGTCTTGCCATTCACCGGGAAACACAGAGAAGGGAGGCGAGGCGAGGGTGACGTCATGGCGCGCGGAGCTCATCGGCATACAGCTTAGGGAAGGCGACGACGGGAGGGTCGCGTCTGTCGGTAGGGTTTCGACATCCTCCCCCTCCTCCTCGCGCTGCTGCAACTACCCTTTGCTGCAGCAGGCCACCGCCCCCGCACACCCTCTTCAGTGGCAGTAGCGGCGGCGGCGGCCCATTGCGTAAACTACCTCCAATGCTCCTCCGGCGTCGTGGAGAGGCTTAACCCTCCCCTCCTGACCGGGCCCCTCTCCTCCTCCCTCCCTCCCACCTTCACCTCCGTCCGTCAGCCCGCCTGGCCTGGCCGCGCAACCCCTGTAGTGCCGGCCCCCGACAGCCCGACAGCCCCACCCCCGCGACTAATTGCGTACGACAGCTCCCACGTCGTCGTTCACGCGATACTCTGACAGGAATACGTTACGCTGCAGCACGCAGACACACACGCGCGCCCGCGCCAAAAAAAACTTTATATCTGCGATGTGTGGCCAGCTGATCCGCGCGGAGGGGTGATGATGGCCGTGATGGCGTGGTGGGCAGTTTGTCGCAAAGCACAGGCTGCGTGCGCACTTTGTGAAACGCACGATACCAGCACGATGCCTATCAAGCGCGCGTGCCCCGGCTACAACCTACTACAACCGCCTGCGTCGCCATAGGCGGACAGGGCACTCGGGTCACTCGGAGGTCATCTGCCTGTCCTGTCACCACCTGTCGGGGTGCAGCCAGCACGGCGCCGCATCCGGTCTAACCAGGTGGCTGATGAACCCACCGCGCGCACTTCTTCTGTAGTTGTGCTGCACCGCACATCACCCCTGACGACGGCGCCCTGCGCGGGCAGAGCGGGTAGGAGGCAAACCCGCCCACTCAACGCGAGTAAAATCAGCCACTTGGTACAACAGACACTTACGGTAAAACGTTCCTTGGATTTCACGTCGGAAAGTGTCCATTGTTCCAAAGGAAATTTCGATCTAAATTCCATCAAGGGAACTCCCTTGAGATACTTTTGGAAAAGCGGGAAGCACGTTTTCACGTGAAAACAAAGGTGTAGGTTTTCCTGGGTGCACGCTAAGCACCGCGCACATGCAGCCGCTGACACCAACTGACACCATCACTGAACGATAAATACCGATCTGGCATCGGAAGGATACTCGAAAACTGAGGGTAAAAACAAAGTAGTGCTGGTCCGTCGATCGACGTTGTCGCGCATGTCAAAAATGTGTGAAGGGGTTGTAAAGTCGCGCACCTAGTTTACGAGCGGCCCCCCGGGCTGGCCGCGAGCAGCAACATGGACGTGTAAACGTAAACGTGAGCGCGGCGAGCAAGAGGGATGCATTTTATTGATCTACAGGCGGCCCCGCCGCGGGTCCCGTGGGGTTGGGGGCGGGGCGAGGGCGGGACGGAGGCGGAGTATGCTAACGGCGGCGGACTGCAGGGAGGGCGGCGGGGCGCAAATGCACGCACACGGCACGCACGCACGCGTCCCGCCGCCGGGCAGGTGAGTGGTGAGTGAGCGGCGACGGACGGCGGGTTTTGAATTATCGATCAGCAAAAAGAGGAGGGAGGAGGTGGAGGAAGCGGCGGCGGCGGCGGCAGCAGCTCGCGCGCGCGTGCCAATCGAAGTGCTGACGCCGACGAGCTGCGCGCGTGCGGGACACGGGACAACGTAGGGGAGGAGTTAAGAGGGGGGGGGGGGCACGCCGAGGAGGGAGACAGCAGGACAGGCGGAGGAGGCAGGGAAAAGAAGAAGGGGCATCCAGAGAGACATCCTAGGGCAAAACAAACTGTACGGCTGAGTGTCAGGCGGGCAGTAGCGAGCGGGCACAAAGGGAAGTGAGACGGGGGAGGAGAGGGCGCCGTGCCGTACCGCGGACAGAGACGGTGACGACATGCCCAGGCTGCGCGGGCCGAGCAGCAGCAGCGTGCAGAGGGGTAGGGGGAGGAGTGCCGCTGAATGACGGATCCCTGGCCGCTCGGTATACACAAAAGGGGGCGTCTTCTCGTGCGTCACGTGACAGACAAAGAGAGCACGGCGAGATAAAGGTCGGGGGTGGTGGCGACGACGACCCTCCAGCTCCAGCCAGCGCTCCAGCGGCTTAGCCGGCCCCGCGCTCCATCCGGCCCGCACCGCGGTGCCGCTCCAGCTCCCCCCGCCCCCTCCCCCCC